GACAGGGAGGCGAACTAGAACTGTGATTCAGGTAATGACAGGAAGGCGAACTAGAACTGGGGTTCAGGTAATGACAGGGAGGCGAACTAGAACTGTGGTCCAGGTAATGACAGGGAGGCGGTCTAAAACTGGGGTCCAGGTAATGACAGGGAGGCGTCCTAGAATTGTTCTTGTAGTGACAAGGAGGCGGGACTGGTGTTTTTGTAGTGACAGCAAGGCGGACCAGAATTGTGTTCTTGTAGTGACAGGGATGCGGCCTAGAACTTGGATTCAGGTAGTGACAGGGAGGCGGTTAAGAACTGGGGTTCAGTTAATGACAGGGAGGCAGACTAGAACTAGGGTTCTTGTAGTGACAGGGAGGCGGTTAAGAACTGGGGTTCAGTTAATGACAGGGAGGCGGTTAAGAACTGGGGTTCAGTTAATGACAGGGAGGCGGACTAGAACTGGGGTTCAGTTAATGACAGGGAGGCGGACTAGAACTGGGGTTCTTGTAGTGACAGGGAGGCGGACTAGAACTGGGGTTCAGTTAATGACAGGGAGGCGGACTAGAACTGGGGTTCTTGTAGTGACAGGGAGGCGGACTAGAACTGGGGTTCTTGTAGTGACAGGGAGGTGGACTAGAACTGGGGTTCGGGTAAATATAGGTCGACTAGAACCCGCCTCAGGGTGTGAAAGCAAATTGTACAGGAATCAAGGTTCAAGTATGGATTAGAGATGCGCTCAGGACATAGGAAGGAAGATTGGGAATACTGACCAGAAATGAGGATGAGCACATGAGGTGGATTAGAACCAGTGTTCAAGCCACGAGAAGCCAATCGCAATTGGGGTTTAGGGTATTATATGGAGTCAGATTAGAACTGGGGTTCAGAGTATTATATGGAGTCAGATTAGAACCGGGGTTCAGGGTATTATATGAAGTCAGATTAGAACCGGGGGTTCAGAGTATTATATGGAGGCAGATTAGAAGCGGGGTTCAGGGTATTATATGGAGGCAGATTAGAACCGGGGTTCAGGGTATTATATGAAGTCAGATTAGAACTGGTGTTCAGGGTATTATATGGAGGCAGATTAGAACAGGGGTTCAGGGTATTATATGAAGTCAGATTAGAACCGGGGGTTCAGAGTATTATATGGAGGCAGATTAGAAGCGGGGGTTCAGAGTATTATATGGAGGCAGATTAGAAGCGGGGTTCAGGGTATTATATGGAGGCAGATTAGAACCGGGGTTCAGGGTATTATATGAAGTCAGATTAGAACTGGTGTTCAGGGTATTATATGGAGGCAGATTAGAACAGGGGTTCAGGGTATTATATGAAGTCAGATTAGAACCGGGGGTTCAGAGTATTATATGGAGGCAGATTAGAAGCGGGGTTCAGAGTATTATATGGAGGCAGATTAGAAGCGGGGTTCAGGGTATTATATGGAGGCAGATTAGAACCGGGGTTCAGGGTATTATATGAAGTCAGATTAGAACTGGTGTTCAGGGTATTATATGGAGGCAGATTAGAACCGGGGTTCAGGGTATTATATGGAGGCAGATTAGAACCGGGGTTCAGAGTATTATATGGAGGCCGATTAGAACTGGTGTTCAGGGTATTATATGGAGGCAGATTAGAACCGGGGTTCAGGGTATTATATGAAGTCAGATTAGAACCGGGGTTCAGGGTATTGTATGGAGGCAGATTAGAACTGGTGTTCAGGGTATTATATGGAGGCAGATTAGAACCGGGGTTCAGGGTATTATATGAAGTCAGATTAGAACCGGGGTTCAGGGTATTATATGGAGGCAGATTAGAACCGGGGGTTCAGAGTATTATATGGAGTCAGATTAGAACCGGGGTTCAGGGTATTATATGAAGTCAGATTAGAACCGGGGTTCAGGGTATTGGATGGAGGCAGATTAGAACCGGTGTTCAGGGTATTATATGAAGTCAGATTAGAACCGGGGTTCAGGGTGTTATATGGAGGCAGATTAGAACCGGGGTTCAGGGTGTTATATGGAGGCAGATTAGAACCGGGGTTCAGGGTATTATATGGAGGCAGATTAGAACCGGGTTTCAGGGTATTATATGGAGGCAGATTAGAACCGGTGTTCAGGGTGTTATATGGAGGCAGATTAGAACCGGGGTTCAGGGTATTATATGGAGGCAGATTAGAACCGGGGTTAAGGGTATTATATGGAGGCAGATTAGAACCGGGGTTCAGGGTATTATATGGAGTCAGATTAGAACCGGGGTTCAGGGTGTTATATGGAGGCAGATTAGAACCGGGGTTCAGGGTATTATATGGAGGCAGATTAGAACCGGGGTTCAGGGTATTATATGGAGGCAGATTAGAACCGGGGTTCAGGGTATTATATGGAGGCAGATTAGAACCGGGGTTTAGGGTATTATATGAGCAGATTAGAACCGGGTTCAGGGTATTATATGGAGGCAGATTAGAACCGGGGTTCAGGGTATTATATGGAGGCAGATTAGAACCGGGGTTCAGGGTATTATATGGAGGCAGATTAGAACCGGGGTTCAGGGTATTATATGAAGTCAGATTAGAACCAGTGTTTATGGTATTATATGGAGGCAGATTAGAACCGGGGTTCAGGGTATTATATGGAGGCAGATTAGAACCGGGGTTCAGGGTATTATATGAAGTCAGATTAGAACCGGGGTTTAGGGTATTATATGAAGTCAGATTAGAACCGGTGTTCAGGGTATTATATGGAGGCAGATTAGAACCGGGGTTCAGGATATTATATGAAGTCAGATTAGAACCGGGGTTCAGGGTATTATATGGAGGCAGATTAGAACCGGGGTTCAGAGTATTATATGGAGGCAGATTAGAACCGGGGTTCAGGGTATTATATGGAGGCAGATTAGAACCGGGGTTCAGGGTATTATATGGAGGCAGATTAGAACCGGGGTTCAGGGTATTATATGGAGGCAGATTAGAACCGGGGTTCAGGGTATTATATGGAGGCAGATTAGAACCGGGGTTCAGGGTATTATATGGAGGCAGATTAGAACCGGGGTTCAGGGTATTATATGGAGTCAGATTAGAACCGGTGTTCAGGGTGTTATATGGAGGCAGATTAGAACTGGTGTTCAGGGTATTATATGGAGGCAGATTAGACCTGGGGTTCATTACATGAGAGTGATGAAGATAATATATTGGGGTTCAGGATTTAGGGGGGAGATGTAGGGAGCTGAGGTTTGGCGCATTAGCCAAAAGTTACTGCAGTATAGAGTGTCAGAGAGAATGACTGAATTAAAGCTGAGGAAAAGAGGAATGATGTGTATATAGAGACACTGGGGTAAAATTAAATTGAAGATTCATTAACCCAATTTTGAATTAGAAATTAATATGGAGTTCAGCCTTCTGGCAGTCCGTCGGTTTGGGTTAGCATGGCTTAGGAAAAAAATATGTAATCTAATTGTTGGGAAAAATATAGTGTGTGTGTGTGTATATATATCATCTGTATGTATGCATATTTCTGTGTGTGTGTGTGTGTATATATATATATATATATATATATATATATAATATGTGTGTATGTATTTCTATGTGTGTGTATATATAATGTGTGTGTATGTATGTATATTTCTGTGTGTATGTATATATAACCTTACATAGGGAAAATTCCTGGGGCTGTAAGGAGAGAATATAACAGTCTATGGGGAAAGAACAGAGGTAGCTAGGGAGACTAATTCTTCTTTCTTGCGGAGTAACAACCTGTTTTTACTCCAAGTCCTTTAATTCTGAGGCTCTAGGAGGAAGTTCTGCATTAAAAGGAATTGTGTGTAGTTCTGTGTGTGTGACTGTATCTTGTGTATCTGACCCTCTGAACAGCACATCATTAATGATTTATATGGAAAGCCTGCCTAGCACTTGCATATGAAAGCACATGCTCATAAAATATACATATTCCTGTTTAATAACTGTAGCAGAGTCCGTTGTGGCATTAATAGACATGTCTATGTCCATAGCTGTAGATCAATCTCTCACTATGGATATATGTGGCTTCCTAATCTGCCTTCACTGTGTGGGAGACACATTCTGCATAGTGACGTCTCTGCATCTGACTAATTCTAGTTTTTTTTCCCTATATTGTGCGATTGGAAGCAGATAATGTTTTGGTTTTAGATACATAAGGCCATTGCTCTGAAACGTGGGTTGAAAAGATGGAAGAAATTGCTTTAATTTAGAAAATAATGAGAATACTGCAAAATGGAAATAGTCAAAGATGGTCATTTAATATTTTGCAGGGGACCTTTACAATATGACACTTTCCTGTGTGATACTGTATTGAGCTGGCGTCGCAAATAATGCCAATTATGGTTGTAGTGTAAAAGATTGGAATATTGTATTTTGGTGTCATTCTTTTTTGAAAATGTATTTATTTTTAATTTAAACTACACATTACCTACAGGTTTAAACGGTCTGTTTGTCCCTTTTAGGCATTTAATTGCCTCCCCGTTGGGATTCTGGGTGTTGTATTTCTGTTTAGCCATTATTTCCATTGTCGTCAACCCCATTAAGCAACTCCATGGCTACTCTCCACCTGCTGCATTTCTCCTCATCGCTACTCTCTACTTACTGCTCACTGCGTCTCTCCCCGTTACTACTCTCTACTTACTGCGTGTCTCCCCATCGTTACTCTCCACCTGCTGCTCACTGCGTCTCTCCCCGTCGCTACTCTCCACCTGCTGTCTCTCCCTGTCGCTACTCTCCACCTGCTGTCTCTCCCTGTCGCTACTCTCCACCTGCTGTCTCTCCCCGTCGCTACTCTCCACCTGCTGTCTCTCCTCGTCGCTACTCTCCACCTGCTGTCTCTCCCTGTCGCTACTCTCCACCTGCTGCGTCTCTGCCCGTCGCTACTCTCTACCTGCTTCTCACTGCGTCTCTCCCACATTAGCTACTCTACCGCAACTACTCACTTTCGTCTCTCCCCGTCGCTCTCTCTACCTGCTGCTGCGTCTCTCCCCGTCGCTACTCTCTACCTGCTTCTCACTGCGTCTCTCCCCGTTGCTACTCTCTACCTGCTTCTCACTGCGTCTCTCCCCGTCGCTACTCTCTACCTGCTTCTCACTGCGTCTCTCCCCGTCGCTACTCTCTACCTGCTTCTCACTGCGTCTCTCCCCGTCGCTACTCTCTACCTGCTTCTCACTGCGTCTCTTCCCGTCGCTACTCTCCACCTGCTGCTCACTGCGTCTCTCCCCGTCGCTACTCTCTACCTGCTTCTCACTGCGTCTCTCCCCGTCGCTACTCTCTACCTGCTTCTCACTGCGTCTCTCCCCGTCGCTTCTCTCTACCTACTGCTCGCTGCGTCTCTCCCCGTCGCTATTCTCCACCTGCTGCTCACTGCGTCTCTCCCCGTCGCTACTCTCCACCTGCTGCTCACTGCGTCTCTCCCCGTCGCTACTCTCCACCTGCTGCTCACTGCGTCTCTCCCCGTCACTACTCTCCACCTGCTGCTCACTGCGTCTCTCCCCGTCGCTATTCTCCACCTGCTGCTCACTGCGTCTCTCCCCGTCGCTATTCTCCACCTGCTGCTCACTGCGTCTCTCCCCGTCGCTACTCTCCACCTGCTGCTCACTGCGTCTCTCTCCCCGTCGCTATTCTCCACCTGCTGCTCACTGCATCTCTACCCGTCGCTATTCTCCACCTGCTGCTCACTGCGTCTCTCTCCCCGTCGCGACTCTCCACCTGCTGTCGCTCTCACCATCACTTTTTCCACCTATTTCTTCTTACTTCTTTTCCTTTTTCCTCTTTTTTAAATTTTATTTTAAAATTTGCCTCTGCCTTCTTATTCTTTTGTCTCCTTACCCTTGCTGCCCTGTCTCGGTTCTCCTCCTAGCAGTTACCCTTTTTTCAGTTTCTGTTTAGCTATTTAACACCTCCACAAAGTGGAAAAGCTAAATACTTTATGTGTCGCGCAAACATTGCAGAAAAGAGAGACTAAATATTAATACGGCTGCTGACCTGTGAAATCCATTGCAAATCTGCTTTCTTCATTGCACTGAAATCCCACAGGTGGGTGGACATCTGGCCATGGCTGGTTAACCCTTCCCTTGCCAGCAAAATGGCAGTGTTAATCGTCACCCTTTGTGTTTAGTGCTTCTATACAAATATCATGCAAACTTTCTACAATACATGTTGTGTGTCTTCCTCTGTGATCATAAGGCCTTATTATTGAAACATTGCCGAAATTGTACCCATCCTCTATCATTGCATGTTAAAAGTAAATATTACATGATTGCATCCATCTTTTTTTTAATTTTTTTTATAGCAGACCACAGGCTTGAGTGTTAAAAGGCTCGATTTGAAGTGTAGAATTAATAATAGATGGTTCTCAAAGAGCACAGAGGATCTCGCCCCCAGGTATTCATATTGTTGTGCACTGCTCAGACAAACGCACCCAGGATCTGTGGCCATGGTACATCCGTCAGGAGGCGTGCAGTGTGGGACTTGCCAGGCAGGTTTGACATGTAATGTACACCCTGCTGTTTATTGTGAAGAAAACATCTGTCACGCTGCAGCTTGCTGTGTCAAAGGAAAACATGAAATCCCACATGTGAGTGAGGCCTCCCAAGGCCTGTGGCCGGCTCCTGCAGCTGTGAAAGGGTTAATAATCCGGCACGCTACAAGAGATATCTATTAGAGCGGAATAGATGGTGGATGATAGGAGGCTATGAAGAGTTTTTGGCCTGGAGGTGAGTATTGTGAGCAGGAGGAACAGCTGCTGCATGAATAGCAGGGGATTCTGCAGGGTGAGCCGGGGGCAGCAGATATGGAAATTATGGGAGCTACACCCTACCTTCTAACAGAGCTCTGTCAACACAGTCTGTCTCATTTCTGTATGATCTGATCACCCCCTGCCTACTACACCCTGTACAATGCAGGATCTGATCCCCCCCCCCAAACACTGTACAATACAGAGTCTGATCCCCCCCATATTGTACAATACAGGATCTGATCCCCCCAAACACTGTACAATACAGGATCTGATCCCCCCCAAACACTGTACAATACAGGGTCTGATCTCCCCCATACTGTACAATACAGAGAGTGATCTCCCTACACTGTACAATACAGGATCTGATTCTCCCCAAACACTGTACAAAACAGGGTCTGATCTCCCCCATACTGTACAATACAGGGTCTGATCTCCCCCATACTGTACAATACAGAGAGTGATCTCCCTACACTGTGCAATACAGGATCTGATTCTCCCCCATACTGTGCAATACAGGGTCTGATCTCCCCCATACTGTATAATACAGAGTCTGATCTCCCCCATACTGTATAATACAGGATCTGAAACCCCCCCCCCCCATACTGTACAAAATAAGGTCGAAGTCTGATTTACAGATAGATTCAATGAAATGATTAATGTGACCAGGAAGTGGCTGCCCTGTCTGCAGTAACAGTAAGTCTATACAGGAGTTATAGCTTTTATTCGTATTGTTGATATTTTCTATAAACTGAAATGAACTTGTAGCATTGGTGTCCCTTTAAACTCCATGAAAGATCTGAGCAGGGATGATCCCTCTGTGCCAGAAGGGATATTTTGGCTGGTAGGGCTGTTTATATGTTAGTGGTGTACAGAGGAGCAGACAAAATAAATGAAATCTACTTAAGCTGATTAGGTCTGTCTGGCCACTGGGAAGCTGTTGGCTAACAAATGAGAACCTGACTTTATTTTTAATTAGCATGCAGAAAAGAGGGGACGTTTTTCTCTTGGCAACACGTTCTATCATGCTCCCATTCTTGCTTGAGTCCTGTGATGTAATATTATTCATTGTGGTATTGCAATATTAATTTATTTACTCTATGTATGTATCCCTCCATCAGTCAGGGGGTTACAGTGAGGGTAAAAAAAAAGTATTTGTTCCCCTGCTGATTTTGAACATTTGTCCACTGACAAAGAAATGATCAGTCATTTATTTTAATTAGGGATCGACCGATATTGTTTTTTTAGAGCCGATACCTTTAATCTGTGAACTTTCCGGCCGATAGCCGATATTCTGTACATTTACCATTTTGAAAAAATAAACTATTTGTAAAGGTAAATGCACAAAATATACATGCCACATGTAGTGGATGCAGGGTGCTTATACAGGCAAGCTGTGTGTTTGTGTAGTGTGTGTGTGTGTGTGTGTGTGTGTGTGTGTATATGTGTGTATATATATATATATATATATATTATATAGTGAATGCAGAGTGTGTGTTTGTGTAGTGTGTGTGTGTATAGTGAATGTAGTGTGTAGTGTGCGTAAAGCGAATGCAGTGTGTGTTTTTGTGTAGTGTGTGTGTATATAATGCAGAGTGTGTGTTTGTATAGTTTGTGTATATAATGAAAGTAACAGCTTGCTGCGGGCCCCTCCAGGACCGCCGGGCTTGTAATGAGCCGGCGGTCTTAGGAGGTATTATCGGCAATATCGGTATCTCTATTGGCCGATACCGATATTGCCAAAAATACCGAATATCGTCCAATAATATTGGTAAAACCGATAATCGGTCGATCCATAATTTTAATGGTAGGTGTTTTAACAGTGAGAGACAGAATAACAAAAAAAATCCCAGAAAAACACATGTCAAAAAACATATAAATTGATTTGCATGTCAATGAGTGAAATAAGTATTTGATCCCCTATGAATCAGCAAGATTTCTGGCTCCCAGAATCTTAAAGGGAGTGCTCTTAATCTCAGCTCGTTACCTGTATAAAAGACACCTGTCCACAGAATCAATCAATCAGATTTCAAACTCTCCACCATGGCCAAGACCAAAGAGCTGCCAAGGATGTCAGGGACAAGATTGTAGACCTACACAAGGCTGGAATGGGCTACAAGACCACAGCCAATAACCGTCAGTCTCCCTCGGTCTGGTGCTCCATGCAAGATCTCACCTCGTAGAGATTTATTTATCATGACAACAGTGAGGAATCAGCACAGAACTACACGAAAGGATCTTGTTAATGATCTCAAGGCATTTGGGATCATAGTCACCAAGAAAACAATTGGTAACACACTACGCCATGAAGGACTAAAATCTTGCAGCACCCGCAGGGTCTTCCTGCTCATGAAAGCACATGCACAGCCCTGAAGTTTGCCAATGAACATCTAGAGGATTCAGAGGAGAACTGGGTGAAAAATCGAGCTCTCAACTTTGCCAATGTTTGGAGGAAGAGGAATGCTGCCTATGACCCCCAAAACACCATCCCCACTGTCAAACATGGAGGTAGAAACATTATGCTTTGGGGGTGTTTTTCTGCTAAGGGGACAGGACAACTGCACCCCATCAAAGGGACGATGGACGGGGCCATATACCAACAAATCTTGGGTGAGAACCTCCTTCCCTCAGCCAGGGCATTGAAAATGGGTCGTGGATGGGTATTCCAGCGTAACAAAGACCCAAAACACACAGCCAAGGCAACAAAGGAGTGGTTCAAGAAGATGCACATTAAGGTCCTGGAGTGGCCTATCCAGTCTCCAGACTTTAATCCCATAGATAATCTGTGGAGGGTGCTGAAGGTTCGAGTTGCCAAACGTCAGCCTTGAAACCTTAATGACTTGGAGAGGATCTGCAAAGAGGAGTGGGACAAAATCCCCCCTGATATGTGTGCAAACCTGGTGGCCAATTACAAGAAACGTCTGACCTCTGTGATTGCCAACAAGGGTTTTGCCAACAAGTACCAAGTCAAAGGGGTCAAATACTTATTTTATTCATTGACATGGAAATCAATTTATAACTTTTTTGACTTGTGTTTTTCTGGATTTTTTTTTGTTTTGTTATTCTGTCTCTCACTTTTAAAATACACCTACCATTAAAACTATAGACTGATCATTTCTTTGCCAGTGGGTAAACGTTCAAAATCAGCAGGGGATCAAATACCTTTTTCCTTCACTGTATGTGTTTTTGGAGCCGTACAAGTTTTGTTGTGGTCAGTATAGTCCTGGTCTGATGGCCGGTAGAAAGCTGCAAGTTGCTTTTGTAAATAGAACAAATATTCAGCGTTATCCTGTTACCTTACAAGTAATTGTTCATTTCAGAGAACTTTGTTTTTTTAATTTGCACATGAACACGGACATGATACTATTTTTATTAGGTATACTTGCTCATTAATGCAACCGCTGATCAACCAAACCTTTTGTATAAAAGCATGCAGACATGGTTCAGAGGTTCAATTGTTGTTCAAACCAAACTTACGAATGGAAATGATCAAAATTACTCTGGCCGTGGAATAATTGTTGGTTTTAGAAGTGGGGATTAGAGTAAAACCAATATAGCACATGATACGTCTGTTCAAGGCTCTGAGCAATTGCCTCTGGAGTTTAGCTCCACTGAGCTAACCAAACCAGGAAGTAACAGGACCGGCTCTCTGACAGCCAAGAGCGTGTAAGTTCATAAAGGTGCCATTCTCTATCGAAATCTGCACTTTTTGTAAGATGGAAAACCGAGGACACATTCTTTATACATAAAGCACTTTAGCAACCTAAATTGCTTTCGGTGTGTGGAATATCCCTTTAACTCTGCAAAGACAACATTGCCATTCCTAAAAACACGGTTAAAATGCCAGGGACACTGCTCTCAGACCACTTCATTTAGATGGTGTGTCTGGGCGCCTTGGAGTGTCCCTTTCCAATTTGAATTATGTCCTTTGTTTTTGCCTTTCAGAAGGCACTTGAGATGTGACGGTATACTAGTTAAGCGTATTAACCAAAATATAGGGAAAGCAATCCAAACAGATACATGTAAATGAATCACACAGGTAATAATACTACATAAAACATGACAGTTCAGCTAAACCTGTCCTGTTAGTGCAATTTAAATGTTTTAAAAAGTAGTTCTCCTGCCTTAGAGTTTTTAAATTTTTAGATCTAGTGGGAATTGCAGGATGTTCAAATTATGAAGACGTTTTATCCCATGAATGCAGCCTCTCTTTGCAAGAGATGCAATAGGAATAATATATTTTAAATACAGTAAATTGCAAAACTATTATGATGGTTAATGTTACTACTGTGAAATGAATATTACTGTTCTCTTAAAGGGCAACCTCATTAAGAGAATTACACCATTCATTAAGCCATTGAAAATTACCTGTAACTTTTGTGATGTCCCATTTAATGTGTATTAAAGGGACACTATAGTCACCTGAAGTGGTCTGGGTGCCAGGTCCCCCAGCTTTTAACCCTTCAGATGTAAACAGAGCAGTTTCAGAGAAATTGCTATGTTTACATTGCAGGGTTAATCCAACCTCTAGTGGCTGTCTTCCTGACAGCCGCCAGAGGCGCTTCTGCGACGCTTAATGCGAAATTCGCTTCCAGCGTGCATAATGTTTGTAGGAAAGCATTGAGAAATGCTTTCCTATGGACTGTTAGAATTCGCGCGTCGCTCTGGCCATGCATGCGCATTCCGCTCCACTCTGGAGCTGACGTCGGCGGGGGAGGAGAGGTCTCCAGTGCCGAGGGAGTCTGGCGCTAGATTAAGGTAAGTGGCTGAAGGGGTTTTAACCCCTGAGGGTGGGGGGGACCTAAGGGTTATATAGTGTCAGGAAACGAGCTTGTTTTCCTGACACTATAGTGATCCTTTAAAGATTTAGCTAAGTATATCACAATCCTGCTGAGTCCTGGCACAGCCAAGGCACACATTGCAAGTGAGAAAGACAAATAGAAACATTGTTTCATGTCTCATTTTCTCTGTGCTGACTGCCAGGTGTAAAGGGCGGAGCTTATAATAATGATTGACAGGGAGATAAGATGGAGGTGGCTCTCTCTCTATACTGACTGCCAGGTGTAAAGGGCGTAGCTTATAATAATGATTGACAGGGAGCTAAGATGGAGGCGGCTCTCTCTATACTGACTGCCAGGTGTAAAGGGCGGAGCTTATAACAATGATTGACAGGGAGCTAAGATGGAGCTCTCTTATACTGACTGCCAGGTGAAAGGGCGGAGCTTATAACAATGATTGACAGGGAGCTAAGATGGAGGGCTCTCTTATACTGACTGCCAGGTGTAAAGGGCGTAGCTTATAACAATGATTGACAGGGAGCTAAGATGGAGGTGACTCTCTTTATACTGACTGCCAGGTGTAAAGGGCGTAGCTTATAACAATGATTGACAGGGAGCTAAGATGGAGGTGGCTCTCTCTATACTGACTGCCAGGTGTAAAGGGCGTAGCTTATAATAATGATTGACAGGGAGCTAAGATGGAGGCGCCCAGTTCCAGGAAAGCAGTGGTGTGACTCTGTCACACATACCCATATAAATTAAATATATGGAATATGTAAACATATTCTGGGAAGTGAGTGATGGTTCTATTTTAAAGGAACACTATAGGGTCAGGAATACAGACATGTATTCCGGACTCTATAGTGTTAAAAACCAACTTTAGGCTCCCTCCCCCTGCCCCCTTTAAATGAATACAAGTTTTTCTTTATTCCAGTGCCGCCCCCTTGGCTGAGATTATCAAAACTGACAATCTCAGCCATTCCAATGCTTTCTTATAGGAAAGCATTGGGAAGCTAATGCGCACCGAGGCAGAATGCATCTCTATAGGGAAAGTTCAGCGCCTGCATGCAGAGTGTGTGTACTATACATTAAGCTGTTTACCTTGATGATCTCAGCCAATCCAATGCTTACCCATTGAAAAACATTGTGAGACTATTGCTTATGCGCGGAAAAATGCTATGCGCGGCAATCAATTTCTCCTTGTAGGGATGCATTTAATCAATGCATACCTATGGGAAGCATTAATGTAGGTGCTGCACACTGTGCAGCACTGGCCCAGGAAGCACTTCTAGAGGCTGGCTGAGTAACTGTCACTAGAGGTGTTGCCAGACAGCAATGTAAACCCTGCCTTTTAGTCTGAAAAGTCAGTGTTTACATTGAAAAGCGTGCAGGGACAATATATACACTACAGAACAGCTACAGTAAGCTGTAGTGGATCTGGTGTCTATAGTGTTCTTTTAAGAATTATATTTTTGACTTTTTTAGCTGGATCCTAGATTTCAAGCAAATTTGTCAAGCCCTGCATTAAACTGTAGTTGTTTTGGTGACTATAGTATCCCTTTAAAGATCATAGTCTGCTCATGGCGGGTGTTTTGTTTGATATAGCAGACGGAGTGCTCATACAGAAGGGGTTCAGGTTTTGTGGCCAATGGAGCGTGGAACTGTTTACATTAGGAGGTGGCGTAGTGACTACTTGTCAGGCAGGGTAGGGTCATTGTTCAATGAGGTTCTGTTTTTAGAAGCCTTCCTCTATCTTGTCCTAACAAGCTCTTGTCAAAACACAAGTCTTCAAAGCTTTCTATTGATGTTTGTGCGAGACGCATTCAAATAATGCCTGTAATAGAACCATAAAGAGGGGTAGGGGTGACAAGGGAGGGTTACCTCATCCGGTGAGGGAGGAGCATTTGGTCACTAATTATATCTGCACACCTGGTACTTTGTCTTTTCTTCAGACAATGTGAATAAATACATATTGCAAATGATTTCCTAGGTCACGATTTGTAGGTTTGCACATTAATCTATCTTGGCCTAACCATCACTAACATTCATTCCAGTTAGTCAGATTTCATTAATGCAGCACTTTCTGAGCATTGAGGTCAGAGAACCAATAATTTTAATATCATAATTCCTAAATAGGTCAAATAAAGGGGCATCTTGCATGAAGAATGGTACAGTGTAATCTTCCCTATTACCCCATTAAACATATCACTGCCATTATGTCACTTTGCTCCTACATGGGACTGTCCCTTTAACTCATTAACACATACAGCGCTACAGAATTTGTTGGCGCTATATAAATAATAATAAATAATAATTAAACGTGTCACTGTCATTAGGTCACTGTGCTCCTACATGGGACTGTCCCTTTAACCTATTAAACATGTCGCTGCCATTAGATTACTTTGCTCCTACATGGGACTGTCTCTTTAACCCATTAAACATGTCACTGCCATTATGTCACTTTGCTCCTACATGGGACTGTCCCTTTAACCCATTAAACATGTCACTGTCATCAGGTCACTGTGCTCCTACATGGGACTGTCCCTTTTACCCATTAAACATATCACAGTCATTAGGTCACTTTGCTGCTACATGGGACTGTCCCTTTAACCCATTAAACATGTCACTGTCATTAGGTCACTTTGTTCCTACATGGGACTGTCTCTTTAACCCATTAAACATGTTGCTGTCATTAGGTCACTTTGCTCCTACATAGGACTGTCCCTTTAACCCATTAAACATGTCGCTGTCATTAGGTCATTTTGCTCCTACATAAGACTTTTCCCTTTAACCCATTAAACATGTCACTGTCATTAGGTCACTTTGCTCCTACATGGGACTGTCCCTTTAACCCATTAAACGTGTCACTGTCATTAGGTCATTTTGCTCCTACATAAGACTTTTCCCTTTAACCCATTAAACATGTCACTGTCATTAGGTCACTTTGCTCCTACATGGGACTGTCCCTTTAACCCATTAAACGTGTCGCTGTCATTAGGTCACTTTGCTCCTACATGGGACTGTCCCTTTAACCCATTAAACATGTCACTGTCATTAGGTCACTTTGCTCCTACATGGGACTGTCCCTTTAACCCATTAAACGTGTCACTGTCATTAGGTCACTTTGTTCCTACATGGGACTCACCCTCTAACCCATTAAACATGTCACTGTCATTAGGTCACTGTTGCTTTAACCCATTAAACATGTTGCTGTCATTAGATCACTTTGCTCCTACATGGGACTGTCCCTTTAACCCATTAAACATGTCACTGTCATTAGGTCACTTTGCTCCTACATGGGACTGTCCCTTTAACCCATTAAACATGTCACTGTCATTAGGTCACTTTGTTCCTACATGGGACTGTCTCTTTAACCCATTAAACATGTCGCTGCCATTAGGTCACTTTGCTCCTACATGGGACTGTCCCTTTAACCCATTAAACATGTCACTGTCATTGGGTCACTTTGCTCCTACATGGGACTGTCCCTTTAACCCATTAAACATGTCACTGTCATTAGGTCACTTTGTTCCTACATGGGGCTGTCCCTTTAACCCATTAAACAGGTCACTGTCTTTAGGTCAGTTTAACACATTAAACGTGCGGATTTGCTCAAACATTGAACTAACTAGCCACATTTCTTCTTCCTGGCAGTAACAGTGTGTTTACCTGTTTGTGTGTTTGGAGTCTCAGTTTCTGTTGAGTAATTTATTAACCTGCTATGCTAATGTTGGTTACTGACTAGAATCCCTGACATTATCCGCCTCTGTCACCTTTGCACTGGCTGGAAGAATACCTGGCTTTGCTTTAGGCAAGGCGGAAATAACGCCAATCCTGTCGTCTTAACCTTGAAATATCAAATTCCTCAGAGTCTTCATAGCTACAGCAACTATCTGTGCACACTGAGACTGTATTCAGAAGGCAACATATTCCTACAGTTTACAAAAAGGTTGAGTAGCAGAATATAGATTTAAAGCCCTGTGGTGAGTTGAGCGTGCATCTGTGTTCACTAGGGTGAGGTGAACTTGCAATTGTGCAACTTGATATCACTGTCACAGACAATCACTGCAGACACTATACTTGTAATTTGTACTTTAATACATTGTTCCATATTAACTGGACTCTTGGCAAATATAATGTTTTACATTAATCTTGTGTATATTTGTAATTTGTTCACATAGTGGCTGTCAGGACGAACCAGTGGCCCAACACGCAGAATTAAGTAAAACTCACAACAAATACAAACAATAACAACGTATTACCGGGCCTTAGAATGGCCGGAATTAATGTAATAGAATAAACAGTCACGAGCCGAGGTCAGGAATACAGAAAGGAACAAATACAGAAAGAACAAAGCCAAAGGGTCAGGGATACCAGAAATACGGAAAGCCAAGCCAAGATCAAAAACCAATAATTGGAATCAGGAACGTTCTCTGGTTGGTAACCAACAAGATGGAAACCACGACAGGGAACAGAGCAACTGCAGGTTTGGGTTTAAATAACTCAGTAAATCCTGCTATTAGCTAATTTGGGTCCCTTTACCACAGAACATGCATGCACGGCGAAAACGTGATGCCGGAAGCATGTTCACCTCACTAGTGATGTCATTGTGGGCGGCGTTATTAATTAGCGCCGTCTTGCAGTGGCCGGTGTCCCTCCCACCGCTGGACCCGGCTGCCGATCCACAAACCGCATGGAGGGAGAGGCTCTGGGAGTGAGGTGAGTAACCTCTCCCTCTTTTAGTGGGACCGCGCCAATCAGGCGCGGCCACACTGCGATAGTGTGACCGTACCGATCAGGCACCGGGACAATGGCAGATTGAAAAGTGTAAATTATCAGTAACACAATATACATTTTTGAACTGCCATCTTATGTCCTTGTTGTCTGATATTCATGAATGTTATACTTGTTTGTGAGTCCCACAATTACAATTTCTTTCAAGTATAGTGGTCATTGTTCAGTTGTTCATCTGGACCCACGCCAGTGTTGTGACAGAAATATTTTGACAGCGTCTTTTACTATTTATTTTTTTGGCACTACGGGAGGTCCTCATCAGAAATAGACCTCAGATGTACTCCAAAGCTACCTAAGAAAATAAACACTGTTGGCAATCTTAATTAGCTTCCCTTTCAATATGCCCAATGACCTTGTTGGATAGATTGAGGGATTTCCATTCAGCTGAGACTTTGCTCACATTGCTGTTTGTGTCACGTCTGAACGAGGGTGGTCATGGTCTGAATGGAACTTGAGGAGGTCCCATTATCTTTTAGATTTTGGTTGAAAGGCTCATGTCCCCCTCTTTTATTCCAACCTTTGTCTCAGTATTTAACACTGTGCTTTTTACAAGCCAATAATAACAGACTGCCAAAATGGCGAGGCGGGCTTATGGGGGCGGACAGGCGGCCTGCGGTGTTATGTAATGATCACAAGCTTCCTGTGACATGCTGCAACGTTGCGTTAATACAAATAGTTTGTTTCTTCTAATAAATTCGGTTTTTTTTTGTTTGTTTTTTTAAATCTATTTGTCAGTTTTATTTAGTCTATGTTCACAGTGCCAGGTTGGGTTGTGATAGGTTATATTTGTTTTGATTTAATATATGTTAATATTAATACTGTTTTTCTGTTACATTTGTTACTGACTGTAATCTTTATATTGTTTGTGATTTTGAGAAAATAAACCAATCAAGGTATTTTGGAGAATTAAAAAAATCTTAAATTATCCATTCTTAAAAGCACAGTAAGTTTTCTCCTTTGGCCGCTCAAGATAAAATACAGTTTTGATTAATGGTCACCATTTTTAGGTCATTTGTCACATTTTTAAAATGCTATATAGCCTCTAGCTTTGTCCCCTGTATATGTGTAAGCCACCTAGGAATGTAAAATTCCTGGTAAGTGGTCCAGAGAACAAAAAATAAAATATAATTTGATTTGAGGATCTTTTAAAACAGTGGCGTTGAACACTAGAACATAAAGTAAACATATCTTAGAATGTTATTGTAATGGTGCTTGTGCCATTACTGTATATTAGAATGTGATTGTAATAGCGTTTGTTCCGTTGCTGTATCTTAGAATGTTATTGTAATGGTGCTTGTGCCGTTACCGTATATTAGAATGTGATTGTAATAGCGTTTGTTCCGTTGCTGTATCTTAGAATGTTATTGTAATGGTGCTTGTGCCATTACTGTATCTTAGAATGTGATTGTAATGGCGCTTGTGCCGTTACCGTATCTTAGAATGTGATTGTAATAGCGTTTGTGCCGTTACCGTATATTAGAATGTGATTGTAATAGTGTTTGTGCCGTTACCGTATATTAGAATGTGATTGTAATAGCGTTTGTTCCGTTGCCGTATCTTAGAATGTGATTGTAATGGCGCTTGTGCCGTTACCGTATCTTAGAATGTGATTGTAATAGCGTTTGTGCCCTTACCGTATCTTAGAATGTGATTGTAATAGCGCTCGTGCTGTTACTGTATCTTAGAATGTTATTGTAATAGCGTTTGTTCCGTTACCGTATCTTAGAATGTGATTGTAATAGCGTTTGTTCAGTTACCGTATCTTAGAATGTTATTGTAATAGTGCTCACGCCGCTACCGTATCTTAGAATGTGACTGTAATCACGATCACGCTGTTATTGTAATATCGTTCGTGCTGTTACCGTATCTTAGAATGTGATTGTAATAGCGCTCACACCATTACCGCATCTTAGAATGTTGTTGTAATAGCGCTCATGCCGTTACCGTATCTTACAATGTTATTTTAATAGCGCTTGTGTCTTTACCGTATTTTGGAATGTGATTGTATTAGCAATTGTGCCGTTACCGTATCTTAGAATGTTATTGTATTAGTGCTTGTGCTGTTACTGTATCTTAGAATGTGATTGTAATAGCGTTCACGCTGTTATTGTAATATCGTTCGTGCTGTTACCGTATCTTCTAATGTGATTGTAATAGCGCTCACGCCATTACCGTATCTTGGAATGTTATTGTAATTGCGCTTGTCGGTACCGTATCTTGGAATGTGATTGTAATAACGCTCGTGCTGTTACCATATCTTGGAATGTGATTGTAATAGCGCTCGTGTCGTTACCGTATCTTGGAAGGTGATTGTAATTGCGCTCGTGTCATTACCGTATCTTGGAAGGTGATTGTAATAGCGCTCGTGTCATTACTGTATCTTGGAAGGTGATTGTAATAGCGCTCGTGTCATTACCGTAACTTGGAAGGTGATTGTAATAGCGCTCGTGCCGTATCTTGGAATGTGATTGTAATAGCGCTTGTGCAGTTACCGTATCTTGGAATGTTATTGTAATAGCGCTCGTGCCGTTACCGTTTCTTAGTATGTGATTGTGATAGCGCTCGTGTCGTTACCGTATCTTGGAATGTGAATGTAATAGCGCTCGTGTCGTTACCGTATCTTGGAATGTGAATGTAATAGCGCTTGTGTCGTTACCGTATCTTGGAATGTGATTGTAATAGCGCTGGTGTCGTTACCGTATCTTGGAAGGTGATTGTAATAGCGCTCGTGTCGTTACCGTATCTTGGAATGTGAATGTAATAGCGCTCGTGTCGTTACCGTATCTTGGAAGGTGATTGTAATAGCGCTCGTGTCATTACCGTATCTTGGAAGGTGATTGTAATAGCGCTCGTGCCGTTACCGTATCTTGGAAGGTGATTGTAATAGCGCTCGTGTCGTTACCATATCTTGGAAGGTGATTGTAATAGCGCTCGTGCCGTATCTTGGAAGGTGATTGTAATAGCGCTCGTGCCGTATCTTGGAAGGTGATTGTAATAGCGCTCGTGTCGTTACCGTATCTTGGAAGGTGATTGTAATAGCGCTCGTGTCGTTACCGTTTCTTAGAATGTGATTGTAATAGCGCTTGTGCCGTTACTGTATTTTGGAATGTAATAGCCCTCACGCCGTTACCGTATCTTGGAAGGTGATTGTAATAGCGCTCGTGTCGTTACCGTATCTTGGAAGGTGATTGTAATAGCCCTCATGCCGTTACCGTATCTTAGAATGTGATTGTAATAGCGTTCGTGCAGTTACCGTATCTTGGAATGTTATTGTAATACCGCTCGTGCTGTTACCGTTTCTTAGAATGTGATTGTAATAGCGCCCGTGTCGTTACTGTATCTTGAAATGTGATTGTAATAGCGCTCGTGCCGTTACCGTATCTTGGAATGTGAATGTAATAGCGCTCGTGTCGTTACCGTATCTTGGAATGTGAATGTTATAGCGCTCGTGTCGTTACCGTATCTTGGAATGTGAATGTAATAGCGCTCGTGTCGTTACCGTATCTTGGAATGTGAATGTAATAGCGCTCGTGCTATTACCGTTTCTTAGAATGTGATTGTAATAGCGCTCGTGCCGTTACCGTATATGGGAATGTGATTGTAACGGTATGAATATAACATTGTGTAACTGTGAATGTATGTATTGTTCAGCCAGTGCACAGGACAAAGGTGATAGGCCCATCTGTTTATTATTTTTAATTTCTATAATGTTCTAGAATCTTAGACTATAATGAGCAATCTATAAAGGTTATTGCACGTTGTGCTGCAGAATTTTCATTATGTCTTTTGCTGTAAATATTATAAAATGTCATGTGTTACTCTGCACATTACCGGCTCAGTGGGTGTCATCTGACTAGTGTCCGACCCCACTGGTTTTAATCTGTACAGTGCAGTAGCTTGTTGGACCTTTTCTGGCAGCCTAACATTGTGTGGGATTATCAGAAATTAGAGCAAGCGCTATTTAGGAAGGGTGATTGCCATTTACTCAATTTAAGCTCTGATTTAAAAATTTAATTTAAATGTGTTTTTTTTTTTTTTTTTTGTGGGGTTGATGTGTAATTAGAGCAATTACAAGAATCTCATAAAGAATATGTATAACCTATTTAAGGGGACTGTGCCATGCAACAGTCTCATAGTAATCAGCAAGTGAATTCCTGTATACATTGCATACTACCACTGGGCAGCAGATGTATATATTTACACATAATGGGAAATCTGAAATATATATGATGGACATACTGTGCCTTAAAGGATTTCTATAGTGTCAAGAAAACAAACTCATTTTCCTGACACTTTATATTCCTTAGGACTCCCCACCCTCAGGGTTCCCCTCCCTTGGCGCTAAAGGGGTTAAAACCCCCTTCGATTACTTACCTTTTCCAGCACCGGGCTCCCTTGGCGCTGGAGACCTCTCCTCCCCCACCGACATCAGCTCCCGAGTGGAGCGGAATGCGCATGCGCGGCAAGAGCGGGGCGCACATTCTAACAGTGAATTTCGCATCTAGCGTCACAGAAGCGCCTCTAGCAGCTGTCAGGAAGACAGCCACTAGAGGTTGGATTAACCCTGCAATGTAAACATAGCAGTTTCTCTGAAACTGCTCTGTTTTACATCTGAAGGATTAAAACCTGGGGGATTGGCACCCAGATGACTTCATTGAGCTGAAGTGGTCTGGGTGACTATAGTGTCCCTTTAAGTGCTTAATGACAAGCCAGAGGTGATTGTGGGATGTTCTAGCTGTGCTCCAGAAGTACACTGTATAGAAAAATGGATATATCTCTTTAAATACAATCTCAAATTTTCAGCAAATATATTAGTTAACAAATATTTATATTTATTTTGTATTTGGCAGTGGAGTGTCCCTTTAGGCAATCCTCCTCCTATATCAGGCAGCAGTTTGTGTAGTTACCCCATGTGACATGCGTAGTGTCCTACAATTTATTGCATGTGGATGCACACTGTCAAGGTTATTCACTGAGAATTCAAAATGAATTCCAAATTTAAAGGGATCATATAGTGCCAGGAAAACAAACCCATTTTCCTGGCACTGTATTCTCTTGGAGAGCCCTCCTCCCCGGTTAAAACCCCTTCAGCCACTTACCTTAATCCAGCGCCGGGCTCCCTCGCCGCTGGTGACCTTTCCTCCTCCGCCGAAGTCAGCTCCCGAGTGGAGCCGAATGCGTATGCGCGGCCAGAGGCGTGCGTGCATTCAAACCCGCCCATAGGAAAGCATTACTCAATGCTTTCCTATGGGTATCTGAGATGACACTGGACTCTGTGAGGACATCCAGCGTCAGATAAGTGCTGGTGGCTGTCGGGGAGACAGCAACTAGAGGCTGGATTAACCCTGCAATGTAAACATAGCTGTTTCCCTGAAATGGCTGTTTTCTGCTGCAGGGCTAAAATTAGGGGAACCTGGCACCCAGACCACTTAATTGAGCTGCAGTGGTCTGGGTGCCGATAGTGGTCCTTTAAGGTCAAAATAGCCGAACTGGAAACATTCTCTATTGGCGATGCTTTCAGTTTGGCTACTCTGGCCTAAAAGGCCAACTGTCACCTCAAAACTATTTAAAACCAACATTCCTAATGCTACAGTGTCCATAGTTTCTGAAGTGCTTTTGTGTACTCTGCCTTCTTATGTGAAATGTGACAGTTCAATGAATAATGGGTTAAAGGGACAGTCCCATGTAGGAGCAAAGTGACGTTACAACGGTGAAATGCTTAAAGGGACACTGTAGTCACTATAACCACTTTGTCTCTTTGAATTGGTTATAGTGCCTGGAATGCCCTGGCACTGTCCCTCCATTCAGTGTTGCACCATGTTTGTGCAGTATGCCACAAAATAAGAGTCCCTGGCCATCCACAGTCCGGCCCCTTCTGTATGTGTAGCTAAAGCAGAGATTACACACTTCCTTGTTGTCATACCCATTCATACCGTTAGTTGGAGCTCTGACAGGTTAAAAGCAGTCAGCTGACACTCTCAGCCAATCACAGCTGCCCATTGCCTCTCAGGGTAATACTTCCTTATTAGCCAAAGCAGCACAGGGGGGATGGACTGCCGTGGTCTCTTGTTTAGCATTAAAACATTACAACATTAAAAACTGTTTAATGCTGAAAGAAATGATGGCACCAGGGGACTCCATACACTATAACCAGCTTAATGAGATGAAGCAGATACAGTGCCTACGTTGTCCCTTTAATGGGTTATAGATACATTTTGTTCCTATGCAGAACTGCCCCTTTAACCCAAAAAACATGTCACTGTTGTTTGGTCCTTTAACCCCTTGATTAGTTCCCCATTCTCCAGCAGTATTCTGATTTTTCCTGACCCCCCAATTGCTAGTCTCCATGCCATTACCAGGACATTGGGTAGAATATAGGGGGATGGGGAAGCTTGTGGTTACCTACATCACTTCCATCTCCACTCCCTGACTGCCCGCAGATGGTAACGGTTGGCTTAACAAGGCTTTCATGACACAATATCATCAAATAGCCTCTGATCACAACCTTCTCAAGATGCATGCCTGATTTTTCTCCTTTTGAAGTGAAAAGAGAAAGAGGAAAATCAATTACATTAACATTGACACATTTCTGATGTTCCACAGATCATAAGATTATTAAAAAATGTTTCTTTAAATACTGTCTAAGCTTTTGAGAACACATTAGGAATTTCAGAGTCTTGATTTACTAAAAAAAAAAAAAACTTACATACTTAAAAATAAGTAGACCTATAGGTAAATAGGATTAACAAGCATGATAACTAATTTAATCTCTGGATTAAAAAACCCTGTAATATAGGATATTTCCTATCTGCTTTAAACCTCACCCTCCATGGGGTATGTTTCTAAACTGTACTCTGCACAGGTACGTCCACCCCTAGTAGGTGACTGTTTGGGCTAGCTACCTGTGCTCATTGGCTAGTTAAAGTAGCCATGCTGGCTTTCTGACAATTTTTTTTTACTCCTGTGTCCATCTGGCGATGCTTTTCCCGAAGCTCTGTATTGCCGATGCAGTGACTGAAGCAGTCTGTGGGAGGGATTCCTCTTAGCATTCAGTGGATGAGGTTGGATTGTATTACCAGGCAGTCCACGATCCCCCACCCTCTCATTCACCAAGCTGTGAATCTCCGGCCAGACACTGCACAGGACCTACAGAAAGAAAAGGTGATTTTTATTATCTTTTATTTATTTCACAGGTTCCCTGGCTGTTTGTATTGGGAGAATATGGCAGTGGCATACATTGCTGTGTGGGGTTGTTTCATACAAGGCATAGCCGTGCTCTTTTGTGACTGCAGAGATCTGCTCAACGTGCGTGTTTGTAGCGTAAGATAGGTGCTTGCACTGCACATTGTTTATGTATGCAGGATTGTGAGACGTGATGGAAAGGTGTGTTTTTGTGTGCGTCAGCATGTCTATATGTAGTTCTATAAATATATTCTATACAACGGAGCAAATGTTTGGCAGAACACAAAAAGGAATATCACGGTTTATTTTTGTCCTGTTCCATTAATTTAATTTCTCTAGAACTGCCTGTTTTTATGGATGTATCTGCATGTCATGTAGCAGAAGCGAGTGTTGCCGGACTGATTGATAATGACGAAGAATGACTGCAGAGACCAGGTTTAGCCAATAGGATTGGCTCCCGTTTGTTGTTCTTGATGTGAATGCTGCATGAGCAGTGGATGTGGGGTCTTCAGCTCCTATGATATCACTTAGCGACTCACACTCCCTTCCTCTCTTCAAGTTTATATCCAGTACATTCATTGTAGTGTCTGTATTAGTGCCAGGGTGGCCAAATGGTGGACTCCGAGATGTGAAACTACAACTCCCATGATGCTTTGACAGCCTGATAAGAAAACATAAATGCTTTATTATCATTGAAAATAAATGCCTTGCAGCTCCTGGCATACACATGCTCATGGGAGATTCTAGTCAGCATCACTGCTACGACTAAGTCCACATGAAATTTGAATGACTAAAACCATAATGGCTTTTCTTTGATAGGATATCCTTCTGACCAAAGAAGAGTTATTGTGGCAGACCAGGCTCCCGCACATCTTAGGTGCTATGTGTAAATTAGATCACAGTTAAAGAGACATTCCACTGTCCATATAAAATAAAAATAACTGTTTAGTAGATATACTCCAAATGAAAACATGCATGCGTTTAATTATGTATTTTTTGAGGGTATATCTAAAAAAACAGCTTGTAAAAGCTGCTGATCTCTTGTCTGAAGCCTTTGCAATCCCTCCCCTTCTAACCCTGCCCATACTTTCTGTGGCTGACCAATCACAGACTACCGAATTCAATGAGAAGACTTTGAAGCTTTTTTAGATGTCAACATGCCTTACGAAAAGAATTACTAGGGGCAAATTTAAGACTTTTGTTAAGAACAGATATTTGTGAGGCAGTTATTTTTTGTGATAAGTTAAAAATTCTTGTTCTTATGCTCTATCGATACTGCTATTTAGACTGCTTGGTGAATATTTCTTTATTGCTTCCTAGTAACTCTTGAGTACCATAAGCACCGCACTGGAACACCATAACCACAGTAAACCCCACAAACGGCCGCAGCTTGGTTCGGGTTTCGCTGTCCTCCACCCTAGACCCAAGACCAGGATTCAGCTTCTAGTCGGTAGACCTCTCTTAGTCCAGAGAGCGAAGCAGGCTGCTCTTACAAGAGCAAGCATTGTAAGCCAAGGGAGTATAGTGATTATAGCAATCCCCAGAGTGAATATAGCTCTCCGATCCCCCAAACATGAGCCTAGACTTCATGAAGTGTAAAACAAATCTGTTTAATGGCAGCCACAACTAGGAATCGACCGATATGATTTTTTAGAGCCGATACGGATAATCTGTGAACTTTCATGCCGATAGCCAATAACTTGACGATATTCTGTACATTTACCATTTTGAAAAAATAAACTAATTCTAAAGGTAAATGTACAAAATATATATGCCACATGTAGTGGATGAAGTGTGTTTAGATAGGGGAGCTGTGTGTTTGTGTTGTATGTGTGTGTAGTGGATGCAGTGTGTATTTGTGTAGTGTGTGTATATAATGAATGCAGAGTGTATTTGTGTAGTGTGTGTATATAATGAATGCAGAGTGTATTTGTGTAGTGTGTGTATATAACGAATGCAGAGTGTGTTTGTGTAGTGTGTATAGTGAATGCAGTGTGTGTGTAGTGCGTATAGTGAATGCAGTGAGTGTTTGTGTAGTGTTTATATACTGTATATACTCGTGTATAAGTAGAGTGCAGTTTTGTGACCAACAATTGTGAAATATGCTATGCATCGAGGGTAAAACTTGGGGCTATGAAATTCTGTGATTTTTATAATTATATACACACACACTCTGCATTATATACACACTCTCATACAAACGCACACTCTGTGTGTGTATATAATGCAGAGTGTGTGTGTTTGTGTGAATGCAGAGTGTGTGAGTATATAATACAGTGTGTGTATATAATGCAGAGTGTGTGTTTGTATGAGTGTGTGTATATAATGCAGAGTGTGTGTGTGTGAACTGGGTGGGGGGAGGGCATTTTTATTATTTTTAGTTTTTATTTAAAATTTTTTATTTTAATACTATTATTTTTGTATTTTATTATTTAAAAAAAAAATTAGTTTATTTTTTAAAATATTATTATTTTTTATTATTACATTTTTTTGTCCCCCCTCCCTGCTTGATACATGGTCAGGGAGGGGGGTTCTAAATTCCTGGTGGTCCAGTGGATGGGCTGTGCAGGAGGGGGGCTGGCAGCAAGCTGTAATTTACCTTTATAATGGTATATAATGCAGTGTGTGTGTGTGTAGTGTGTGTGTATATAATGTAGTGTGTGTGTATATAATGCAGTGTGTGTGTGTATATAATACAGTGTGTGTGTTTGTGTAGTGTGTGTGTGTGTGTGTATAATGCAGTGTTTGTGTAGTGATGTAATTTGTATAAAATTGGGGGCATTATTTATTTATTTATTTTTTAAAATATTTACATTTTTTGTTTTTGTTTGTTTAGTCCCCCCTTCCTGCTTCTTACCAGGGAGGGGGGATATAGTATTCCCTGGTAGTCCGGTGGCTTGTTAAGTACTGGGGGGGCCCGCAGGAAACTGTTTCTTACCTTTCTTGCAGCTCCCCTGTGTAAATCTCGAGGCCCTTATTGCCACACGGAACGTTGCCATGGTAACCCGTGGCAATGCTCTGTGGCCGCGGGACTCGGAAGATTTGCACTGGGGAGTTGGAGGAGCTGCAAGAAAGGTAAGAAACAGCTTCCTGCGGGCCCCCCACCCCAAGTCCGCCGGGCTTTAAATGAGCCCGGCGGTCCTAGGAGGTATTATCGGCAATATCGGTATCTATATTGGCCGATACTGATATTGCTGAAAATACAGAATATCGGCCGATAATATCGGTAAAACCGATAATCGGACGATCCCTAGCCACAACTGGCCTTATATGCAGGTCCCCATGCAAGGGGCACTCCCTCCTGGACCTGAGAGTAAACCAAAGTAGAAATAAATACGCAATCACATTGGCTCTCAGGTCCAGGACACTCCCATACAAAATAGGTCAATCCCTCCCCTATGCCTGGGAGATAATTGAGTAAGCACTGTACTAAACTTAATTATCTCCAGGCACAGAAAACATAAATTTTTACAAAACCCCCAAAATGCCCTGATCTGGGTGACCAACC